GTTATGACACTTTCTTGGGCGCTTTTAAAATCATATCCAGTTGGTTATAAGTAACTGTTATTTTGCATATCTTATTACTTGGATGTTTAACCATTACCACCACATTCTGTGTGATTTCTATATGCTTGTCAGTGAATTCACCAATGATTACATTAGTTGCTTTAGAATAAGAAGGTTTTTGGCCCCTGACTCACTAAAACATTACCTCTTTGTTTCACAAACCACCAGCCTTTTAGCCTGACTCTTTCATCAGATCGCTTAAAGAAACTATGGGTTGTTTTTAAGGGCAAAGGGCAGATCGACGTGACACATCTGGTACACTGACTGTCTATCACATGGGCACCGTTCAATATAACATCGGGGGTGGGTGGGGTGGTAATGCACACATGTCTGTGAATAATATAACATCCATATCATGGTACTATATTGTGCAAGGCATTCATTAAGATGACACATAAAATACGGGGCAAGTATTCGGTTTCCAATTACACAAAAGCAAGTTGAAGTGGTGGAAAAGTTACATAGTCAGCAAGTAAAACAGGCCCTCAGCACTACATTAATTTCCATATGAGAACAGACTGAGGGCTTAATTGTCAACTTCATATGTAACTTCGTGAAGAATTTATCAATTCTTTCAATTATGTCCTGCAGGCCCAATTGTAACCTCAGTCCTGAAGTTCCAGTCCTTACCCTTGAACCCCCTTAAGTCCGGGTCTGCCTAAATACCTCAACCGACCTCAACCGACCGCGTAATGGGTTAATATGCAGTATACATGGGCCAACAACCCTTTCCAACGCTCTGGATACATTGTCTATGCTTGTATGAATGAAAGTTAAAAGCATGAAGGAAGAGATCGACATGCAACTATTGAAATAAATGATCTGTCTAGCCACCCCCCACCCCGAATGGGGTCAATGGAGGTCGAGCCGGTAGGCGTACGTGCTTAGCAGCTTGGATGTCAGACTGGAAAACACTCTGTATATAGCTATTATGAGTTGGTTATGATAGTATTTGTGCTTTATAAACCATCATTTTTGCGTTCTGTTGCCTGTATAAAGCAAAATGTGTCCAGAGATTCCCCATGCAGGCCCAACGATGAATAACTTTTAAAAACTGGTAAATACGTCAGAGTTACAGTTTTTTTTCCATTCATACAAGCATAGACAATGTATCCAGAGCGTTGGAAAATGTTGTTAGCCCATGTATACTGCATATTAACCCATTACGCGGTCGGTTGAGGCCGTTTGAGGTAACGGTTGAGGTATTTAGGCATACCGTTAAGTCCTGCAGTCCCGGTCCTATTTATGTTTCAGTCCTGCAGTCCCGGGTGCTATTTATCACTGTACTAACTTATAAATATCATCAATAACAACACTAAGCATCTACACAAAAATACTACCATATACAAACAAAAACACCCACCTAAACAATATCACACAGTCGAAGGCATGAGTCCTACGAACTCTAGTTTATTGCTGTTTTCATGACGAATAAAAGACTTGTTGGTTATTACACTGTGTTCTCTCATTCAATTTGTGTCCTAATATTTGTCATTTGTATATTTCAAATCTAGGCATTTTGTGTTTTTTTTTTGGGGGGGGGCGGCTTTGCTCTCGTATTGGATCTAGGGTCTCCAGAGGACGCCCTCCATAAAAATTACTTGGTGTGACCTAAGCAGTGCCAGATCCCCCCCATGCAGACCCTCATTAAAGCCCAGTCGGTCTGTGTCTAGTCACCACACCTCCTAACCCTTTGTCGGCGCGGATTCTAACAGAACAGACTTGGCTGAGGCCACACCAAGTTATTTTTATGGATGGCGTCCTCTGGAGACCCTAAATATAATGCGAGAGCGCGAAAAAAAAACAAGGGCCGAAAAAAAGCAAAGCACTGAGATACCTGAATTTAAACAAAATATACTATAAGGACGACAAATGTTAGGACACAAAGTGAATGAGAGAACGCAGTGTAACAAGTAACAAAAACAGCAATAAATCAGTGGAACAGCAGTTGTCGTCCTGTCCTGTTTCTTTCCCTCACATCTTCCCTTGTCCCACTGTCGTGACTCTTTAGTCATAGTTACAAGAAGCGGATTTTTTTGTTTTTCTTTTCTGGAAACAGACGAAATTTAATGCGCGCGCGGACGTCATCCATAAAAATTACTTGGCGCGGATTTGAACAGAACAGACTTGGCTGAGATGATCCAAGTCAAGATATATTTTCCTAGACGTGATCTTGCTGAAATGTGGGGTGGATTTGAAACATCTGCTTCGCTATTCTTGGATGTCTCCACGTTTGTTCAATAAAACATCGTGTCGCAAGATTTGACCTGACGAAAAAGGCAAGGAATAGACTGCATTCTGTCGTTGTTCTTTGAAGCGAAAACTAAAATAAGATTCTTGCCTTGAAGTATTCTTTTCGTATTAGTGTGGATCATAGAAATATAATCCAACGCCAGTAATGTACATCATTGTACAAGAATAGTTTGATAACATACAGCATATATATTCATGTTTTTGACATAATTACGAGATGATTACGACTAAAAAGGTGCCAGACGGGTACAAAAAAAGAAAGCCCTAAGAACGCGTCAAAATAACCCCAAACTCAAACCTCTGCTTGGAGAGTAACCATTTGCATCGTCTCTGAGTTTAGAGTTTTTAAACAAGCGATTTACGAAGCGATGCGTTAGTAGAAAGTTATTCTCATGTTTACATGATCGTGGGAGGCTGTTGAATGATGTTGTCGCCCTCCCCCCGGATCCCCCGTACGACAGAAAACAGACCCTTCGGAAACAGAACATCAATAAACAAAACTTTCCTTTCCCGACGCCGGTATGGGCCGGTTTGGACTAGTTTGGATGCCAAAAGGGTTTTTATTCAGTGTTTACTGTGACCAAGGAGGTTAAAGTCTCTTTTAAATCTTATTGCTGTGACTCACTATCAATGTCAATTTTTTTTTTTTTTTATATATTCCGAAACATGTAATCACAAGACGTAGTGACGGCACACTCAAGTTTTTTCAACCACCAACACAGGGGACACTACAATACTCATTTACACCTGAGCGAAGTGAGGAAAGTCGTGTAAAGTGCCTTTCCCAAGGGCACAAGATCGGTGGCGAGTCGAGAACGCTGCCGCTGCGCCACACGACCCCACACAATGTCAATTGTTAACCCTCCTTCATCTTTGTTGCGGTGAAACATAACGCTCTCTGCTAACATTTGCGCTAACATGGCTATTGTTTCATAGCAAAACACACCGGGTGTGACAAACTACTAATAGGTGTGTTGGTCTTTTTGTGCTCTGTTTGTTAAATTCTACAATCCATAAGTAACTCCGGCGGGAGCTTAGGTATTGCACCTGACTTGAGAAAAATAACGTAAAAGTAAGAAAGAGACTAAGTAAGAAAAATAACAAAGAGTAAGAAAGAGACTAAGAGAGGAAGGAAGGTGGACCGCGGACAAACTCCCCCGACATGTTATCTCTCTCTATTTGGCTGATTTTCACTCTATCCAGCCGCCTCCCGAAGCCTGGTAGAGGCTAATGTTGTCCGTAGAGACGAAGGCTTGGCCTGTGTCCGACTTTCAGGCTAGTTACCCGACCGAGGTAGGAAGTGTGAATGTCAATGTTTCACCTTTGCGGACTCGTCACTTACAGAACACGTGTTCCTGGTTTGGTGTGGTTATAGAGACACGACTTGTCACGTACGTACACTGACAAAACTCCAAGTCAATTTCAAACACCATGATTGCTGTATTCAGATAATAGAACAGTATACGTAGTTCACGTGTATCCAGAACCGTGCCTGGGGCAAATATACGTTCTTGGATATGCGGAGACTATCCAGAACCATGCCTGATCCTATAACCCTATTATATATCCATTCAGACTTACAACTAGATAGACACGTGCACGCTTCTAGATACAATAGGCTGTTTAGCGACAAAAAATTTGACAGACTCATTGTCGTAACGTAGATTTGCCCCAACAACTATTGTTCTAGGATATCCAGAACTATCCAAAACCGTGCCTGATTCTAACCCTAACCCATGCAGGCACAGAATGGGACACGTTTCTGGATACCAAAGATTTTACAAATCCAAGAACGTAGATTTGCCCTATATGCACGGTTCTGGAACCAAGGAAGTTTCCTTTAATTTCTAGAACCGTGCATGAGCATGCATGGCTCTGGATAAAGCACACAGTTTTAGATACAACACTTGCGGCTAACGTTAATTTCAAAAGTCGGTACTTACAGCCCGCCAGTCCGTGCCCGACTACCACGTTCGTCTCCACCTCGTTGCCGGTGTCCGTGTCCGTACCGGGCCGGGGGCGGATGAACACGTCGCCGTCATCGGGCTCGTGTCCGCTCCCCTCCCGTACAAACCCCGGGGCCTCCTCGGTGTAGATTGTGTTGGTGATCAGGCCTTGAGTACGGCCGAACGGACGGATAGGTCCAGCGTGGGACAAGGCTGTTAGCACTAGGAGCACGCATAGAACACTGGCCGAAAACTTCATCTTCAACTCAACCTGCTACACGCTGCTTACTGTTTCTGCTCTGAAACTTTTGCGAGACGGGACAAACCGTTATTGGTGCTAGAGGGTCTAGCTGAGAGGACTGTTGAGGTCCGGGACGAACCGTTATTGATTCGGGGGGTGGGCCATCGGGCTCGTGTCCGCTCCCTTCCCGTACAAACCCCGGAGCCTCCTCGGTGTAGATCGTGTTGGTCAGGCCCTGAGTACGGCCGAACGGATAGGAGCCGCGTGGGACAAGGTTACAAGTACGAGGAACAAGAAGAGAACACCGGCCGAAAACTTCATCTTCAACTCAACCTGCTACACGCTGCTTACTGATTCTGCTCTGGAACTTTTGCGAGGCGGGACAAACCGTTATTGGTGCTTGAGGGTCTAGCTGAGAGGACTGTTGAGGTCCGGGACGAACCGTTATTGATTCGGGGGGTGGGCCATCGGGCTCGTGTCCGCTTCCCTCCCGTACAAACCCCGGAGCCTCCTCGGTGTAGATCGTGTTGGTCAGGCCCTGAGTACGGCCGAACGGACGGATAGGCGCCGCGTGGACCAAGGTTGTTAGCACTAGGAGCACGCATAGAACACCGGCCGAAAACTTCATCTTCAACTCAACCTGCTACACGCTGCTTACTGATTCTGCTCTGAAACTTTTGCGAGGCGGGACAAACCGTTATTGGTGCTAGAGGGTCTAGGTGAGAGGACTGTTGCGGTCCGGGACGAATCGTTATTCGGGGGTAGGTACGTCGCCGACTCCTCGCCATATCCTCTGTTCTTAAACTAATCGCTTTCTCTTAAAGAAACAAACACCGTCCGCTGAGTTAGTCCTGACAACCGTGTAAAAATAAACAGACTGGTTTTACTGTTCCCAAGGAATCTAATTAACAGCAAATAAATAAAGTGTAAGAACCAGGAACCAGGGTTGGAATTTGGGCAGGGAAAGATAAGAGTTGAGATAGCAGGATATTCATTTGCATCAAGATAGTCTTTCCCTTTTTTTTTGTTCTCTAGATGCATTAGTGGTTTGTTTTATATGCACAATATATCTCATGTATTGACCAATATCCATTTACTGTAAGTATATATACATACAAGCACTCGCACACACACACACACACACAACTCTATTAGCTAACTAAAAGGAAACAAACAACGCATACAACTCACTCTTTACCATTCCTTTATTGAAATCTTCTTACAACCCTCTGCACTATACACTGAAAACTAAACTCCATATAACAGAAAAGAGACACCCCAACACTAAAATACACAAATAGCTGCCGATGCACTTCTAAAGGAATCCACAAGGCGGCGCACCTGATAGAGCCTACACTAATTACAGTTGCACAACTGGAATGTTTCCGCCAATATTTGCACATTTCTAATATGCTAAAAAATAAGGTACTAGACCACAAAATATACGACCTAGAGGAACAAAGTTGTAAAAAAAGCTATATCTGATTTGAGCAAAGATCCTACAACCAGTGCTTGAACCATTATGAGAAAAGGCTATAAGCTTAGTAAATACTAGGGCAAGTAAATACAGAAAAGTGCGCTGTTTTATGTAACTGGCGTCACTGCTGCAGTTTGAGATTAAATCGCTAGATGTCATTCATTGCAAGTCACGCAATTTTTCATTTTGACAATGTCGATGATAAAATGCATTGCATACTACTTTCAAAATGATTCGCAGAATAGCTGTAGTATACATGATTGGTACTTTTACAGTAGTTAAAACAACGGACAGTTGTTGTACATGCTGTTTTCCGTTCAGTATGATAACAGAAGAATTCTAGTACATGTGGCTTGTCACTGTGAGCGGTTTGTTTGTTTGTTTGTTTGTTTGTTTGTTTGTTGGAATGTACGAAAGACCCGGAAGTGGATCATACCATAAGAACCGTAAAGGGGGTGTTACATTATTCGCACTCAGTTGTATCGTGTATTGCTGTTTGGAAAATTATTTTTTATTTCATTATGTCAGGCCCCTCCTGCGCCCCTCAGTGGTCTGACCCGATGACCTTGGCGGGCCTACTTGAGTTGCTTCATGACAAGGTCACGGAGTTGGTAGAAGTACTTCAGCTCCTTGAAGCTTCCCAGAGTCACCATCACCACCTGTGGAGAGAGAAGAGGGTCAGACCTTCAGGTAGCTGCGTAGTATCGGTATCTGAATCGACTGCTTAACTCAGTCTAATACCGAATCGCCGGCTGCCAATCGCCGAACGAAGTGCTACCCTCAAAGCAGAGGTTTGGGTATCTTTTTTACGCCAACCAAAAAAAGATACCAGTGCAAAAAAGAAAGCCCAATTTAAAAAAAAGCCTAAAATCACGCCAAAAATAAACCCAGAACTCTTCTTGGAGAGTACCGTCCAGCTTCAGTCTGTAAACTGTGGCTCAAACACAGCCAACTTTTAGACTGTACTGCAGTCTTTATAAATGAATGAGCTTCTGTAAAGCCCCCTCATACAGAAAAAATTAGTAAGTCCGATTATTACGCTGGAAATTACATTTCAAATTGAACCTGTTTCAGAGTGACTTCTAGCAACACATACGAACTTTCACGCTACGCTTTACAGAAGATGTGGTTGGATTTTTACGGAAGATGTACAGGACGCATGAAATGCTATGGGACTGTATCCTCACCTGTACAGCCATAGCAGCCAGGATGGCGGTCCCAACAAAGTACGCCAGCTTCTGTACGAACTCAGGTAACCTGCAGAAACACACCCAACAGGTTATATATATATATAT